TCATGCTAGATATATCTGGTAGCTTCTATCATCATGAGTCTTTTTGGGAAGTGACAAGCTGGTGCAGGAAGGAATTCAGGTAGCCACCATGAACTCTCTACAGAGGATAAACTAGACCTGCTAGCATGGAGAAATGCTTTTACTCCTGCACACCCTTGCTGCACAGAGAAAAGCAGTTAGCACAGGGAATTTGTCTTAATGCAGTTTTACACTTTAGTGTCCAATTTTGTTCAGGGAGGAGGTGCCTGGGGATTTCCAATACATCTGTTCTAAGAGGGAGGGCAGAGGGAAATTACTTTAATTAAAGTAACAGGAGTACACTTTGAACCTTTACAATCTGATCAAACTGGGACAGAAGGAGGAAAGTACAGGGAGCCACAATGGAAAGGATTTATAAAACATAAATCATAAAGCAGAGGGGAGAGAACATAACAAATGGCAGGCCAGGTGCATCTTTCCTAAGTGGTGCTGAATTTAGCCCAAATCCCTCATGCTTTTTTTCCCCTTGGCCATCTGAACAGATGTCTGTAGCCTTCAGATAAATTATAAAATATGGAAGGAGGAATTCTGCTTGGTGCTGTTGCCTTGCAAAAAAGTCACAGCTGCTGGTTTTTACTGTGTTGATATCAACTGCTCAGGAACTAGAGGGAAAGAATACAGTAAGCAGCTGGGATTTGTAGGGGACAATGGGCTCTTCCATCAACACATTCTTTTTCCTTCCTGTTGACCTCCCAGTGAGCTATCAGCTTTGCTTCCCTTAATTTTGTTTTAAATATAGGCAGCAGGGAAATAAAATGCTCTTTTTCTTATGAGTGTTCATTTTCCTACTCCCCGTGTTTACCATCCTAGGAGGAAAGTTAGATTGCACCTCACTAAAAGACTTGTAGACAGAGTGAATTTCATGCAACACCTTTGGCTGATGCCTTCTCTAGGCCGCCTCTAGATGAATTCCTGCTCACCACTTCCATTTTAACCTATTAAACTTCTCTTCAGTATGGCCTGCCTTTTCTGAAGCCCAGGCATGGAGATTTATGTGGAAACTGGGATTACCAAGGCCATAACCACATAGCCTACCAATGCCATTAAGGATCTAAATCCCTTTGTAAAGCCGAACTTCACTGAGTCTCTTTATTTCTTTGCTGTCCCTACTTCCTCATGCCATTGCCAACTTCACAGTTTATGGCTGAAGGGACAAAGCCTTCAGGCCCAGGGGGGGCAGGATGACACGGTGTCATCAACAAGGGAGGCAGGGTTCAATGTTTGAAGGATGAGTGAGGGATGAACTGTGGCTTTGCAGAGCACTTGGGCACATTTTACTGACTGGGGGAAGAAAGACCATCACATTCAGCAAGTGCAATTCAGTTCAGACATAAACTAAAGGTGTAAACTTAAAAGATACAGCTTCACTCATCTACACAGGTTCCTAACCCAGTTAAGGGCTCTGCCTAAAAACAAAATTCTCATGTGCTTCATCCCCGTTCAAAAGCACAGGGAAACCACTGCAACCACCATGCAAACTGTACAATGACATGTTGGTGTCTTGCAGCCTTAGAACCAGAAAGACAATATCATCACTTCCTACAGACTTAGCAGGAGTCTTTTTTTCAGGTTTTGAGAGCAAAATATCATGGCAACACATGTGGAAGCCCTTCCTGCTTATATTTCTGGAAGCCCTTATTTCAGTCCCTGGTCACCATAATGTTATCCCTTACACACATTCCATATTTTTGAGTTCTGATTTACAAGAAGATATAACAATTCTCTCAGCCTCGTGTCTGTGTCTGACAGGCCATCTGGTGAGCAGGTTGCAAGAAGAATCTTTTCCATATAACTACTTCCTAATTCTTCAAATTGGATTTTTTTTTTCCTCTACTTCACCTTGATGAAAAAATCATCTTGAGCTCCTCACAATGCTGATCTCAAATGAGCTCTAGTCTATTCATTTCTGCTGTGAAGGATTTATTAAACAGAATGTAAAGGGGAGAACATAATAATACAATAATGAAGCTTTAATTGTCAAACTCTTTACCTTGTTGCCCTCCTGCACTTTATGAAAACCAAGAAGCAGCTAATCTTAGAAATACTAATTATTTTATAGATAATTAGCTGCAATTAGTCATAAATGCACCTGATCTCACTTAATAAGGGCAAAAGGAGGCAGTGGGAGGGTGTGGGGAGAAGAAAGAATCCTTTTTAAAATGTTGAGATATGTAAAAGCATCAACAGTAGGAAAATAAGCCTACAAATTAGAAGATATGCCAATGTCAGTAGTAGAAAGTAATAAGGCTGAAGAAGAGGCAGCATTCTAGAAAAGTTGAAACTTCAGCAGTTTATGTAGGGAACAAAAAGAGGCTGCATTTTGGTCTGGTTTCCTATCAGAAGTTTACATCCTTGTGCTTAGTGAGTATCACCTCTTCCTCCACTCTCTAGCAAACAGAGTGCTGAATTTTAACCCATTTGTTCTGACAGAAGTGACATCAGGTTTCACTGAAATAATTTGCTCGTAAACAAGTGCATCTCCCTTGAAGTATTAGGCAAAGACCCTCCTGTGAATGAAAATCCAAAAAATCTATATGGAGATGAGTCTTCACTGGACACCTGGCAAAAGGTTTCAGGCAGACTTTGTACCTCCTTAAATTCCAAAGTCAGTGACCAAGAAAGATATCCTTAAAGACATGATGCTCGACTTGCACCGGTGCTCCCAGAACTCCTCATTCTCTTTTCTCACTGTAGCTCTCAGTGAGGAAAGAAGCCCCAGCCCTGCTCCCTTTGCTCTGTGACATGCAATGTGACCAGGAGCTGTTGGTGGGTCATCAAAAGACACGTTCACCCCTCTGGGTGCTGCAGTGCTGCCGCAAGGGCAAGGGGCATGGCAGAAGGCTCATGGGGAGCAGACAGGAGGCACATACTCTGTGTGGCTCCCCGGACATGGCCCAGCTCTGTGACTCTACTGTTACTGCAGCAACTCCCCTTCCACATCTTCTCCCTTCCATGCTTGGATGTAGCTTTATAAGGACAGCTCTGCAGCTTTTCTTTTGAGCTTCCCACCCTTCAAAGGAAGACAAAAGAAACAACAAATTTTTATGGTATCTGGTAAACCCAGGGGGGATTGAATTACCAGTGCTATATCTTACAGTGAGACCAACAAGTTACTCTGTATATACTTTAGACAATATTTTATGGCCTTTTAAATCAACGTCCTCTCAGATCTCTCTCAGCATCACCGATGGCACAAATTCTTTTTCTCCAATTTTCTGTAAGCTGCCATAATTAGATGGATTAGGGGAGTAAACAGTCCATCATTGACCTTCTTGAATGTAGTAGATGAAACTCTGCTCTACAGCATCACATCCCATTAAAAGCCTGCCTCACTGAACACAAGCTATTTCACAGTGACAGAGGTCTTAATAACCGTGCCTAAAGGAAAGTTATTATTGGAAAGAAATATCAGGCATATAAGCCATGGAAAATGCATGGATGATGTTAGGGCTGGAAACTCACATCATCAGGTTGTGATCCAGGCCAGCAGACAGCAGAGCAAATATGCTGTGGACTGCTGTGCATAATCTCAGAGTTCAGCATGTGTACCCCATGAACATCCCTGACTTATGTCCTGCAAACATGCAGAGAAGAACTGAATTTCATTTCTGCCTGTAGTGCCTTTTGACACATGCCCTTTCTTATTTATGAGTTTTAACCCACAGCTTGCCACATTACCAAAGTCTCTGTACAGTACACAGCACTGCCTTACATTCCTTTTTATTCCATATGCAGATGCTTTTGACAATCCTACATCCCGGTTTCTTTTCTTTGGTCTTTTTCTTTCTTTTTCTTTTTTTTTTTTTTTTTTTTTTTTTTTTGGCTTTCTAACATCAATGTGAGTCTCAATTCAATAGCACAGCCATACAAAATTTTCTAATTTTTTCTCTGATATGGTTGACAGATAAAGCATTCCTTAGAGAGGTGATTTCAGCAGATTGAGTTACACCAAGAAAGGCTGCAAAGATAACCCCCTAAAAAATGCATTCTCTCTGCTCTGTTTCATAGGACCCTCCTGTACAAGTGCTTATTATTTTACTACTTTATTCATAAAAATGTCAAATGTTTTCTGGATATTAGCATGGATGATTACTTTTTGACTCTGACAGTCACACAGCAAAATATTTTGTTGCTTTTTCCTTGCAAGTACTGACTTGTGGGACTTTTGAGGAAATGTATTGCTTTTGACAAAACTTTCTTTTTGAAAGATTTACATCCAGGATTAAAGCTATATTCATAGGTGGGTGAGACTATCCAAATGCAGATCAGCTCAATAACCCCATTAGTTCATTATTCATTTAGGATGTAATGCAGCTACAAAATTCTGGTGAACCAAGACAGCCAGGGAGCTGAAATCCTCCAGAAAAAATGGAGGCTTTAGATAATTCTGGATGTAAATTCCTCTTTCTTCTCTTACCGTCTTGTTCCTAACTCATACTAAAAAAAAAAAAAAAAAAAAAAAAGTATAAAGAGGGTAAAACTTCTCTATTACTCCCTAAAGATTATTACTTACCTTAAACTCCAAAGGATGAAATTATTTCTCTTCCAGGCAATTTAAAAGCCTGTTTCCCACTCACTGAGCTGGTGCAGAAGACCACTCAGCTTTATACAGCATTTTCCTCTATTGCAAATAGTAGGTATAGAACCTCGAGCTCCCTATCTTTTCGCTAAGTTCTTAGAAAAACAGCAAGAGACTCTTCCAAAGAGTTAGGCATATTTGGTGAATACCCTGAATCAGCTGTCATGGTCACAAATCTGCAAATACTACAAAATTCGAGTCCCAGCCTTAAACGTGTAAAATGGAACTGGATGTTGCTCTAAATGGTTTGACAGGGAGACTGAAACATCATGCTGCCCTCAGTGAGTTTCTTGCTCAGTATGGCTGACCATGGCCAGCCAACATTCCACACACTGCTTTGTGACACAGCATCATAGAATGGTTTGGGTTGGAAGGGGCATCAAAGATCACTTCGTTCCAACTCCTGCTGCCAAGAGAAGGGACACCTTCCACTGGGCCAGATTGTTCAGACTCCCATCCCACCTGGCCTTGAACACTTCCAGAGATGGGGAATCCACAGCTTCTCTGGGAAACTTCTTCCAGTGCCTCACCACCTTCTGAGTAAAGGTGATGAACAATTTAGACTCATATATGTTGGTGTTGTTTATCTACTGCTAATGAATAACAATAACAGCTCTAGAATAAGGACTAATTTTCACAAAAAAAACTGAGGTTCATCAATTCATTTTTCAGCTGAACCATTTATCCATGAGTGATAAGCTTTAAAAGAAAGTCTCTCGACAGTAGAACTGGACATCCTAGAAATGCAATAGGACCTTCAGATGTCTTAGTGTAAGCACAAAATAATGAAGTGTTTGAAATATATATTGTCTCCTAGGAGTTATAAAAAAATGCTGGAAGTCATAATGAAGTATTTCTGGAAAAATAAGACTTCCAAGAAAGCACCCAAAATTTTGGGCAGCGTGAGGTTATGGTCTTCCTAGTAATAGCATCTCTGCCAGTCAGTGTGGACTCTGGATCTACCTTTCTTCTGATTCAAGAGTATGACTTGAGTTAGCTAAGTCTAGTCCAACAAATAAGCCAAACCACAGCAAAATTGACAAATGCTGTGGCCCAATATGATATAAGGAAATGTAACATTTAGACATGATGTGCAGAAACATGTATGTTTGGGAAATGGAGTGGATCATGGAATGTGGCACATTCTTTGGATCCTGCACAGCATCTGGGTGTAAGTATAGAAAAGTCTCCAACTGAGAGGGAAGAAGTCGAGGGAAAGGTGGAGATGAGAGGGACAGTTAGAAGCATTTCTCTCCATGCTACTATTTTCAGCACTGCTGCAGCTAATTTGTGTTTGGATATGAGCAACTGTCATCTCTGTGCCTTTTACATCTCCATAGAAGTCAATCATGAACTGGCATATCCCTCTGTTCTCCCCAGGTCTGGCTGCTGCTGGAAAACATTTTTTCAGCCAAAACACTGCAGTTTGTAGTATGCATGATTTTAATGTGAACACTCAGCAGTAATCTCATATCCTTTCTGTTGGACAGTTTTGCTTTGGGTCATCAAGTTCTGAATGTTGCTGAGTTTTATAGGGATGTTTTCTCAGTCTTTAAAATGAATAAAATGAGTCCTTTAAAACCCAAGCGTATTTGAGGTCCATTATGCCAAAATAAACATACAATGACTTGTGAATTGCTGACATGATGCACAAAGATGCCATTTTAAGTCACACAGATCCCATACCAGAGTAAGCCTTATCCTAGATGAGGTATAGATAACACTAGTAGAAGGAAAGAGAAGTGACTGGGCAGCATATCAGATATGATAAAATATCAGTGGGAGGAGAGCTTTCAGAACCTCCATGATAATTAGCTTGAGGCTGGAGAAGATATGGAGGTCATGGACTTTTTCCAAACTTGGTTTTACAAAGAGCAACTAGCAGCTGGAAGGAACGCTGTGAGTGATGCTCAGCCCACCAAAGCAGCAACCAGGTGCCAAAGTGTGTGAAGACACTGCAGCAGAAAGATTTCAGATGAGTTGGAGCACTGGCCCTGTGAATCAGAGCCTGTCATGCTCAGAAAGGTGAAAAAGGGAAGCTGGAGAACTCATCAAACATCAAGCTTCTCCTCACTCTATCTCTTCCTCTAGATCATCCTTTATTTTTAATTGCCATAACTCCTCTGCCATTACTTCACTGCCTTTTCTCATCCCAAAGGACCAGGCATTCACACTGACTCCAGACAGAGCCCCTTTTCACAAAACATAATGGCAATGCTTTCAATTCACAAAATAGCTCCTTGCAGTCTTCAGTATGGAGCCTGCCAGGGCTAGGGCTGTCTGTTCTCTGTGAGCTCGGAGTTCACAGCTTTCCAGACAGTTCAGGAAAGGCTCTGATGTTTGCCCTGCTTCTCCTCTTCAAGAGCAAAGTGATTGTTGGAAGCACTCCTCTAAAATAAGGGGCAGGAATACAATGAAGGGGAAAAGGAAACACTACATTCCCTTGGGCTGTGCATGCACAGGTATGGGTGTGGGTGTGTGTGTGTGTGTGTGTGTGTGCATTCCCTGCCCTTCCCCTTCTATCTCATTTCTTACAAACAGGCAGGAATTGCAGAGAGATAAAAGGAGGTGGCTTGTCCTTCTATCCCTCCCCTTTCTGTACTATAAATTCTTAAACAAGCCCAAGAGAGTAAATTGCTTTTCAAGTTTTATCAACAACAAAGCAACCCAGTAAAGTTACAGTTCTGTGCTCAAAGATTGTGTTCATGTTTAGCATGAAGTTTCCAGGCCAGGAAATAATTAAATCATTTTATATATATCTCGGGAGGGGTGACTTCCCCCTCTTACCTCCTGATGGTATAGAATTTGTGTTTTGTGGATATAACTCGTATCCCTGATGCATTTCTAAGTGTCCGGTCTCGTCTGAAGTAAATTGCCTTCTGTAGTCAGGATCATACAAAGATCTACCCCAGCTGGGACACAGGAGAGATGTGCTGGACCATGGAGACAGTTCCACTTAGTGCAAACTATTTCACAAGGCATTTTCCAAAAATGACCATTTGGGCTTTTCAGATATGCAACACACCACAGAAAAGTAGTTTTTAAAGCTTGCTCTGTGGCATAATTCCTTACTTTAGAAACATCAGATGCTATTTCATGAGTTCTAATTTTCAATTAGTAGCAAAATTGAAAGATGGGGACCACTGAAAAGAGGACATATATCCACATACATATACATGTGCTAGTCTGTGACAGAAAATTAGAAAAAAGGAATGCTGGTAGACGATATCAGAAAACAACATGAAAGAGAACCATTTCCTTGAAAATTAAGAACATATATTTGCAACATTAATTTTTGTCTATTCTGTTCAAATCCGTTAGGTTTTGAGCTACATTGTTCTTTCAGAAGAACTGACTCTCTTTTCTGAAAGCTAAGGATAACAAGGAAGGGTCTAATCTGGTGTTGGTTTCAAAAATGAGCCTTGAGAATAATTTTAGTCTCCTTGTGATAAAGCCCCATTTAGAAGGTACAGCATGGCAATTTCTGGTTCCTTCTCTATCAAACTTCTTGGCCTCCCCATTAAAGTAATAGAATAGAACTTAAGAAATCCAAAGCAAAGCATATCTCATCAGTTCTTCGAAGAAGAGCTTTTTATAACAGGGAAAAAAAAAAAAAAAAAAGCTTGGTTTTTTTTTTTTTTTTTTTTTTTTTTTTTTTGAGAAGCAGCTGTGCTGTATTACCAGCCACTCTTCCCACAGCTTTCTGTGGCATGAGATGGTGAGACAGCAGCAGAAGGGGCAGAGATGTTGAGGGTCAGCTCACAGCTCTGTGATGATCCTGACTATAGAGTTTGTGGCTGAACTCTCTTACTTCCTGAAGCACATCCCCTGAAGCCAAAGGGATTAACTCCCACTAAATCTCCCAGGAAGTTAGGATTAATAAAGTTCTCATCATCTGCTCCTGAAGCCATAGGCTTGGAATTAAACTCCAAACCTATGCTCAGAGTCCTCCAAGCTGCTGGTTTAGGCTGCTGTCATATTTATCTTGACGTTACTATGCTAGTTATAATTTTAGTAAAACCAGAGAATTACAGAAACTTTTAGGTTGATGAAGACCTTTAAGTTTATTGAGGCTAGCAATAACACCACCAAGTCTGCCACTAAACTATGTCCCTGAGTGCCACCTCTGAACAACTTTTAAGTATCTCCAGCGATAGTGATTCAACCACTTCCTAGGCAGCCTGTTCCAATGCTTGGCAACCCTTCTAGTGAAGAAATTTCCTAGAACCCAATCTAAACCTCCCCTGGTACAACTTCAGACCATTTCCTCCTGTCCTATCACACATTACCTGGGAGAAGAGACTGACCGCCATGTGGCTACAGCCTCCTTTCAGGCAGTTGTAGAGAGTGACAAGGTCCCCCCTGTGCCTTCTCCAGGTTAAACATCCCCAGCTCCCTCAGCTGCTCCTCATGCAACCTGTGCTCCAGATCTTTCAGCAGCTCCATTGCCCTTCTCTGGTTATGCTCCAGCACCTCACCGTCCTTCTCATTATGAAGGGCCCCAGAACAGAACATGGAATTTAAGGCACCAGTGCTGACTACAGGTCTGCTTATGTTCAGTTGCTGCCGACAGCACCCCTATGTCCTTTTCCTCCAGGCATCTTTTCAGCCAGGCTTCTGTGGAGCTCAGCCTGTGACACTGCACAGGGTCATTGTGACCTGTTGTGACTGTAGGACCTGGTACTTCACACTGCTGCCAGCAATATGGCAGCAACAACAACGCATTTATCCCATTCATACAGGGGAAAAGGCCCTCTGCAGGTTTTTCATTCTGGGAACAAAGAGCATAGGCACAAATCTGTAATCTCTGATGTAAAGATCATTAAATAGTAATCCCCCCTTTCAGTATAGGTGAAGCCCATTTTTACCACGCCATTGTCCACCTTAGTGTACGTAACAGAAGACCTGTCATTTTTGTTACTGACTACTTATGTCAGTGCACTAATATTGCTATTTAAGTGCTTAAAAGAATAATTAAAATTGAATGAATAATGAATAAGCTGAATAATTTATTCAAATATATTGCAAAACTTGAACAACTTAGTTGATGAATATATTTAATAACTCACTCTGCCCCTATTTTTGTGAATAATATTTTTAAGCTAGATGAATAATTTGTTTTTTAAAAATTGTAACATTTGTTATATAAATCATCCACTTAATATTGTTCAACCAACTCTAAATAATAGTTAATTACCAGCAAGGGCATTCTTAAATGGTCACTGGAGGCCCAGATAATCATGTCTGAGCATTCTTGGAAGACTTTTTGCTTATAAAATACTTATTGTGATTAAATATGAACTTTCTAAATCAGGAACTAATTTTTACTTTTTAGTGGACTAAAAGAAGACCAAGCAGTAGCAGAAGGGAATAAAGGATATCACTCTTTTTCCTGAAACCATAGCAACATGCCCATCTTCAGATGGGATGAAAACTACCACATATGAAGTAGTACAGGACAGAAGTGAAATTATGCCCAAGTTCCTGTTTCCTCATCTCCAGTGTCAAACTAGAGAGAGACACTCCAGAGAGAAAGCACTGAGCTCTGTAGAAGTGATCCTGAAAGAGAGTGTTGTACCACAGGCTAGAGGGTTTGCAGTGTGTAACTGCAGAGTTAGCATCAATTCAAATCAAGAGAGCTTTCCTCAGTTGAGATATGAAGAGGGAGAACTCCAAGACAGAAGTGTCAAATAAGCAACCCTTTCAACCAAGGGTACTTCCACAGTGAGAGTCAATGAACCCACATTAAGACCAAGAAAGCAGTAGCTGTTTGTGCTGCCTGATAATCACCAAAGGTCATGAGTGAGAGATTTTCTTGTCTATCGATCTAGCATGCTTTTCCCAACCCTGGATGCTTTTGTTCAGCTCTGATAGATTCTCAGACCCAGGACTGAGCTTCCCCAAGGAGCCATGCAGTGTACTTGGTAGCATTCCAGCTTTTCATATTGAAGATAATATTTATTGCTCAGGGAGAAAGAGCTCATATTTTTTTCAACTCCTACCTGGACTGATTTAGTTTGGTTTAGACTTGAAGAAGAAAAATATAGCAAAGTGTCCTTAAAGATTAAAATTGATTTTACTTTTTACAGCTTTGCTGTAAAGCCTTGGGCTGAAGTACAATTTGCAGTTATAATTATAATATTTTAAACACACAGTTCTTACTTGTAGCCATTGTGGTTCTGGCTCTGATACCCCTGGATGTGTGACCTTAGGGGTTTTATTCAAGTTTTCTCTCCAGAATTATCTCATTAAAATTTTTATCATGTAAAAAATGAAGCTCACAATCCTACTTTTCTCAGTTGCCTGTAAAGCATTTTGTACAGATAAACCCAAGGGGCCAAGTACACAGCCTCTCCTAGGCCCACTGGGCACTGCCATGTGAAATGAAATTCACAGGTTGTTCTTGTTCTGAGACAGTTCTTCAGGATCCTCCATGACAGGTTTATTTGTTTTGGTCGCCCACTTGTGACCACTAGTCTAAGTCCTTGACCTTTGAGCAGCTACCCGAGGAAACTACAGGATGTCTTTTATAAGGTTTGAGACCTGTGTGAAAATGAATGTCTCAAGGCACACAGGTCAGTACTGT